AAAATCACAGCTTGTCTCCTCAACCTTCACATATTGCGGGTGAACTGGTGGGCATACGTTTGGATGAAAAGGATGGGTGTAAGTGGGTGGGGGGTGAGGGAGAGAAAGGGATAGACAGAAAGACACGGAGGGGGGTGTGTGTTTCATTGCTGGTGCGTGAGTGTGTTTGCATTTTTTCATTTGTATAGCTGGGTTTCCATTCAAGTATTTTAATACAAATTATGAAAATTACTGAGGTAGAAAAGCTGAATACAGACAGCTAACTTTGAATATAATTCGTCTCGTTGGCAAAAAAGTTTTAAAATTTGGTTATTTTTTAAAGGGGTTTTGGCTCCGTTGGTGCAGGTCGATCTGCCGACTGCAAACAGCAGCACAAAAGAAGTTTTTGAAATCTGTGTACGGTGCAACACCTGTCGTAGAAGGTGTGCTGGAATACTGCATCTCTTTTTCATCTTCACACTAAAGCATAAAACAATCTGGACATCAGCCGACACTAAAGCACAATAACAGCTCGCTAAATGCTAATCAAGCCTTGAAACACACTCCTCTGATGCTCATCTTCATCCCAGTTGATGGAAAAAAAAATCACTTAATTCGCATCTAATGTTGTGTGACATTTCAAAAGTTTGCATGAAATTTCCCTGACAGTCGGATGGAAATCACGCGTGCGCGTTTTGTGTAGCGGGTGTTAATATGCGCCTGTGGGCGAGTGAGGAAACAACAGCGCTAAACCAGTTTGTGACTGTGAGTAAATGAGACTGATCCAAAGCAGAGACACAGACCTGATTTATAACCCAGCGCCTTCCACACAGATAAACTGAGACATTCCATTCAGCTTCTTTACTGATATCTGTTCGTGTGTGTGAGTGTGTGCGTGTCTGGTGGACAGTGAAGGGAATAGCCTTGTTTAAATGAACCGTCTATATCCTCTCCTCTCCAGCTGTGCTTGTATGTTTGTGTGTGTGTGCGCAGGACGCTCATGTCGGATCGATGTGTGTAATGATTCACACTAGAGATTAAGAGGTGCTATTACACACCTGACCTGTTAAACAACACCTCTCTCTTCCTCTCTGTCGGCCTCTTCCTCCCGCTCCACCTTCCTCTGCCTCGTGCATGCAAGCTAATGCCATTTGCTTTGCGCTGAGACAACACTACATTAAAACTTCAACAAGTACTAGCTTTTGTCGTAGCCCGTCAATCAGCGGGCCATTCCGCAGACTAACAAAAGTCGGGTGAGCCGTTCCCCAGGCCCTGGAGTTTTGGAGAACTGAGGGGGCTGAGGAGTACTTTTGATTTGTCTCTCCTTTGGTGATTTGTTGACTCTTGTGAAGTTCAACACAGTAAAAAAAATGTCAGCTTTTCCTCAGAATATTCCTCTGTGTTTTTTCCCCCCACATTGTTTTATCACAGCGGGCCATTTCCCTATGCTGTCATGGAGAGATCAGCGCGGCTGTATTGATATACATCCCTCTCTCAGTTTCATGAAAGGGAAATCATTTACCAGTGGAAAGAAACGTCACTGCTTTTTCCCGATACGATTTGTCCCCCCCCCTCCATCCCCACGCCGCACACACACACACACACACACACACCTACCCCGCTGCCGACTCTTCACTTTTATCGTAGGAAGAGGAAATGGATGTCTGTGTGCGCCTGTGTGTAAGTGCGCGTGTGCGTTTGAAGTTGGACGCATGAAAGCTTCCTCTTCTGTGTGAGCTCAACAGCAGGTGGGCTGGTGTGTGGGTGTGTGTTTGTATCTGTCGGGTAAAAGGACTGTCAGGACCTGGTGTGTGTGTTTGTGTGTGTGTGTGTGTGTGTGTGTGTGTGTGTGTGTGTGTGTGTGTGCGCGTGTACTCTTACTTGTTGATTTAGCATTCCGATGGCCTCCAGGTTGCGTCGCAGTCTGGTCTGCATGTCCTCGATTTTGCTGAGGTTTAGAGCCATACAACCCTGCTTTTCCATCCTGTAACACAAGCGTACACACACACACACACACACACACACACACACACACGAACATGTCTGAGAAATTAGCTTTGACGTCTCTAAATCTTTGTACCTGTAGTAGTTTAAGAAAACAGAATAATAAAACCTTAACTTTCCAGCTGCTGCTTGAAACTGGCTCATGTTTCCCATAAAAAGCAGATTAGGTATACACTTCTCCTGTCGTGGTAAACTTTTAAACTCTAGTATTTTCGTGCAGTGATACGCATTCGCAAGACAAAACAGTTTCAATCAAATGTCCTCAAAATCTGGGGCATAAAGAAGTTGGCGTACATCAGCTTCATTATAACCGTCTTCATTATAACTTATTACTAAACTCAAAGATGGGTGAGCAAATGAGTTCCAGGAATCATTAAATTATATATAAAAGCGCATATAAAACGGAAAAGAAAAAAAAAAACCACACAAAAACAAAACGAACGCAACCGCAGCCAGGGAACATTAAGAGTACAAGAAGCCATTTAAGATTTTAACTGTTTATTAAAAACGTTTTGGGAAATGACAAACAAATGTGAGGGTCTGCTATCTTCAGACTCAGGGCTGACTAAGGAATGTCTATTAAATTAACGACGGTGGATAATGGTGCTCTGTACGGGCTGAAGAGCTTGCTGCCCCCGCTTTACGCTCTTTCTTTCATGCCCCAGTGAACCTGTCCAGTTAGCATTCGGAAAAACCTTCTAAATACTTTATTGAAGACTTCTTAGCCCATTAAAGTACCACTGTACCTCCCCAATGTTAATTTTCTTGTAAAAGAGCAAGCTGGGATTTTCTATCAGAGCAGCGGATGGAAAGACGGTCCCGTTTTGCTTCAGTTGAGAAGACGCGCACACGCTCATCGAAACGCTAATAAATGGCATTATTGTTCCTGTGGATGTGGGTGAGCTGAGACACACACACACACACACACACACACAAACTTTTGGCCCTATTAGCATTAACTTAAAACATTTAACATCTGAGGAGACACTTGAGGCAGACGCTAATATGTGAACTGACATTTTGTCTGAAAAGTTTATGAGATTCATTAGTGAAACACTTCAGCTCCTATGCATCTTTAACCATCTATGCAAACATCAACCAGGAGACAATAGCAACAACATAAACAACAGTGTCCACGGTACCATCTTGACTGTGATGTCTCTTTGTTCTCTGTGGAAAACGATGCAACCTTGAGTTACAACACATATAACAGACAGTTACACTGAAGCACTGATGTGCAATATTTGTTTGTTTATATTATTGTTAGGGATGGACATTATTGGATTTTTTTGCCGCTATCCAATATGCCAATATGTAACTACTCATTTGACCGATAACCGATACCAATATCGATATATCCACTGTTTTCTCTCCTCCTTTAATTTTGGTGATCATCAAGTCTCCTCTGTAGTGGAATTCACATTATATTATGTATGTATACTCTTATTGTGATGGCCCACCAGCAGATGGAGGCATGAAATACAGTACTTTTCAACGTATGTAATATTCTGTCATTGTGCAAATTAAGAAAAAGCATTTATTATTTATTAAAGCATTTCATTTTAAAGCCGATATCACCTGATTCCAATAACGTGTCGATATTATCATGCATCCCTAACCATTGTATTTATTATAATAATTGTGCAGTACTAAGCCTATACCAAAAAAAGGTTCAGAGGTAGAGCGTGTCGTCCACCAATCGAAAGATCAGGGGTTCGATCCCCGGCTCCTCCAGTCTGCATGTCGAAGCATCCTTGAGCAAGATACTGAACCCCAAATTGCTCTCAATGGCTGTTCCATCGGTGTGTGAGTGTGTTAAAACTGAGTAGCAGGTGGCACCTTGTATGGTAGCCTCGGCCACCAGTGTGTGAATGCGTGTGTGAATGGGTGACTGTGACTCGTAGTGTGAAAAGCGCTTTGAGTGGTTGGATGACTAGAAAGGCACTATACAAATGCAGGTCAATTTACCATCCAGTGACTCAGTCATAATTTAAGTTCTATATTACTGCTGAAGACATCAAGGTACAAATATATACCAGATACGTCACCATATTATTATCATTTTACCAAAATCAAACTCAAACAGAGTTCCAAGGTCTCTGACTAGCAAATGTTGAGATGCATGTTTTGCCCGTCATTGATAAGAACGGCCACATCCGAGCCAGTAAGTGCACCATATTAAGTCAAGTATGTCATCTCATTTTAGTTTGCGGGCCACATACAGTCCGATTTAATTGCAGGTGGGCTGGACCAGTAAAACCATTGCATCATATCCTAAAAATAACAAACGCCTCCAAATTTTTTCCTTTTTTTTGTTTTAAGAAGTACATTTTACAAACACTCGTCCATTTACAAAACAGATGACAAACAGCCTGTGATGTCTTTAGAAGAATAAATGCAGTCTCAGCAATATTTCTCAGTTTTTCCACGTTCAGTCAGTCGACTACTCGCTGTCATTACATGTGCATTTCTATACATTTCCTCTCCTGTGCTGTAATCCTGACATCACAGCAAGCTGAAGTGTCAGGGTGGGAAAGCCTCTGACGCAGCATTTTACATGAAGAAAGCTACTCACTCTTTAACTCGCTCCTGAAACCTGGCACCACTCAGCCTTCACAAGTGCATCACTATTAAGTGTTCAATGTCATCCAGTGGGCCGGATTGGACCCATTGGTGGGCCAGTTCTGGCACCCAGGCCCTATGTTTGACACCCCTGCATTAAGTTTTAATCAACCTATAGGTTAGAAAGTTTATGGTAGCTATGTGTGTGCTCAGTTTGTCCTGTTAGTGATTACATGACGCCAAAATCTCCCTCACTCTCTGTTTATCTGAGCAATAATGAGACAACAATTAGACAGTTTGAGGATTCAGTAGAGTTACGAGACAAATAAAGGATGACCGAAAGCATCAGTTTATTAAAAAAAAAAAAATCCTTTGGGCAAATAATCAAAATCATATATGCATGTTTTATAATTTTGTGGACAACAGCCACGAAATTATATAATGAAAACATATGTTTTTGATTAATTTGTCCACACATGTACGAACAGAAAATGAACCATGAAAATTCATATTAAAAATCCATACATACACCAGCTGACAGAACATCATCTGAATCACTGCCTATTAACCAACTAACTAATCAAGCTCTGCCATTTTTTTTTAAAGAAACCTCATTTCCTGAAAATGACATTCATAAACTGAACATAATTGCAACTGACCCTTCCAAATCTTTTAATTTCACACCATAATGATGATACAAAGAACATTAATAAGAAGAAATGCTGAAATTCCCTTTGATCTTTTTAAATTGTAAATGCCTTTTAAATTAAAAGATGAGTCCCACAAGTTTCCATTTGCTACAGCGAAGGGAAAAACAGGAGGCATAAACTTTAAGCGCGAGTATAAAAATCCAAAGCGCCACCATCTCCGCAGATTCTTCACATGATTTAAACTCTTTCCTAGATGCTAATGTGGTCTTCAGCAGATCATGAAACATCACCGCCGCTGAGACAACTGTGTGAGATTTATGCACCCGATGTGAGAAGGCAGCGATGCGCTTAGCGCTTTGGCATGACGCCTGTGTAAACATGTGTTCCTGTGTTTACACGCAAACATGGATGTGTGTAATTAGCGGCCTAACCCAATCAGTGTGTGTATAATTACAGTCATTAGTGTCAAAGCCAAGCTGCCATGCTCTCTAAACCAGGCAATAAACTACATGGCCCAATCTCACTCTCATCTCTCTTATTTACTGCTCTCATCTCAAAAATTTTATGCAAGACTTGGCTGTCTTCTCCCGCAGTCTCCTTCTTATCTCCTCTCTCTGTTTCTCCGTCACGTCGCTTCTCTGTGTTTGTACAAATCCTCTGCTGTGATCACTGGGTGCTCTTAATTGGAAGCACATTGTTAATGGTGCAACTGATGAAGCCTGATGCTTTATGAGCGCTTTCCCCCCAGATGGGTTGTGTCACAGACAGTCACAGCAAACAGCATCGATCCCTGCTTCCACCACTTAGTGTATTTCAATGTGCACTGGTATTTTAATGTTTTCAGATAGAATTTTAGATCATTTGAGGTGAAATGTGAAAGAAATCCGATAACAAATCATTTAATTAGCTTCAGACTGGAGTGTAATTGTGCTGAGAAACACATTAAGATATTTGCATTTCCTCCGCATTGCACATGGATTTCAGAGCAAACATACAAAGTAGTATCATTGCTTTACAGCACAAACACGGCTCTATGGCACCAACGCCAATTCTTACTCCTCATATTAAACGCTTCTGGAGGCAAAACGGGGAGGGAAAGGCCAGAAACTTAGCATCCTCCTTCCCAGGCAACAGGCAGGGTTTGGAAAACACACCCTGCTACACATACAGTAGCATCTCCGAGGTTTTTACAGGCACACTGAACAACGGACCGGGATCTGTCAGCTTTTTATGGCGTTGTTGATTGATACAACACTGTTACTTCAGATCGTGTCTGCGCTGTGCAACAGATTATAGCAATTAAAACTAATGAGTATTGTTCTCAAGCCAATACCTCCGATCCCTCCTACATCTTCTGAACAACCATATTCTCCAACCAGCCATCCAACAATGAAGAAGATCAGTAGGGGGGCAAACAAATACCCCAATACTATATTTAAAACTTAAAATAAAAATATGGCACAGATGTTTCTAGTCTCTTTATCAGCTCAGCTACACTTGCGCTAAAGTATGCACATGAATGCTGTTATGTCTTATGTATGTATTTTACAAGTGTTGGTGATGCTGTTTGTGCTTGGTGGCAGTCAGTGGTGGTGTGTAGCTGTGGGATGGGAAAACTCTCCTGCTGACTCTGCGAGCTGAGGTTTTCAAATGTAAACGTCAGTAAACATCAAGATAAGAAGGAGCTATGAATCAGATGTCTACATGGAAAATCAAGACTGTAGCCCTTTTTAAACAGGAATTGTGCAAATTTGCAGGAAAGCCCAATCAGTCTTCTTTCAGCATTGGCAGTATAAAAACAAAATCGGGGAGTGCAGCAAAATGCTGTCTACCTACTTTTGTTTATACAGAATGCGCCTTTTTCAGGGCAATGGGGGGCGTGAGCAAGTAACAAAACGTGTAGCTCAGCGTGTGACGTAAACAGTGACGTGGTGCTTCAGAGATTCTCTCGTAAATCGGCCCGTTCTTCACCGTTCCCGTCATCTGACGGTTAATGGCCTCTTTGTCTGCGAGGGCAAGGAGGACGCACAATTCCTTGTCTTCCCAGTTGCTCATCTTTACAGTGTCTATCAGGTTTGCGTTTCCCTCTTGCTACTAGCTGCTCGCTAATTCCTGCTATCAGCTGTATCCAGTTTATCTACTGCCAGTGGGTTGCACATGCGGCGTCATCAACAGCTCCTCCCACAAGTCATCAACAGCCCCTCCCGTTGCGGAAGGCCGCCTTGGTCTTTTTAAACTAAAAGGGTTCCACCAACGAGGCAGAAAATAGGGCATCTCGGATCAACTCGCCAGTCTGGCTCTGTGTGTCTAAATGCTCGCAGCTTGCCGGCAAAATGGCCCAACATTTGCGGAAAATCTGGCAGTGTAAAAGGGGCTTGTATCTGCAGCTATATCTACATCGGAGGCACCGTGACAAGTGGTCGCAATCGCTCCAATCTTCTCTGCCAAACTAGCATACTGTTAGCCATTATACAGGCTTTGGATAGTAAACTGGTCAACCGTCAAGCCTGCATCAGTTTCCAAAGGGATATCATGAACTTGCAGAGGACTCAGGCGAGAGACGGGGACAAGACATGTGCTTTATGTTAAATAAGGAATGGTCTGACGGTGGGAATGTTAAGTGCTGAATAAACACTCTGGATCGCTGTTTTGCGCCGTTCAAAGGCGGCTACAAAGCAAAGTTGCTGCATGTGTTTGGGAGGAGCGACCATGTGGCCATCCTGTTGAGGTCATGATATGTAAACAAACTACGACACTAAGAAAGATGGATGAAATCAGAGTCTGAAGTACTTTTCATGACATTCCATCACCATCAATGTCACTGCTGACAACAATGATGTAACTGGAAAACAGAAGCACCCCAAACTACAGTGATATCATTCCACAGCTAAAATGGATTATCAGAGCTATCTGAGATGCATAAAACAAGAGCACAGCAGCCAACATGGCCAATTATAAAGCAGCAGACTACAATGTAGGAAGAGGCAAGAAGGGGCTAAATTGCAAAGCACAAGTCAAAGGAGCTGACAGGATCTAATTTCACTGGACTTGTACCTTATATGATATCATGTGACAATTGATTGACTGATTGACATATTTATTTCGAAATAATCAGTAAAAACTGCAAGGTGTACATATTTCTTCATAAAGTTACATCGTGCCTAAAACAACTCATCTAACTTAAATATTTAAGAGGCCTCTGTAATATTTATCAATCTAAATTTCTATCTCCTCTGTTTCTCTTTTCCTCGTCTTTCCAAGGAGCTTTACTGGTACAAAATGTCACCGACAATGTGACGCTGTGACACTCCAGCTGCTTTGGAACAGTAGGCCATGTAATCATAATACATTTCTTTAATAAAGGCATATCTAATGACAAAACCTTCACGCCGTGTTGATTGCTGTCAGCGATAGTGGCAGTAGAGAGACACTGAAGATATCCCCTTTGCCACCAGTAATGAGATTCATACACTGAATGTATATGGCTGCCATGCAAATATCATGACACATCTGTTGCCTTATGGATGTATGATTTTCATACATATGGCATTTTGGGTAGGTGCGTGTGTGCGTGGTGGGGGTACAGTAATGAAATGAAATAAATTAGGAACCCTGGTAATAAAGAAAAGGGTTGGAGAGGAGAGAAAGAGAGAATGGATGGGGAGACACTATGGAAGAGGCTTTCATTCACTGTTTTTATCTCGTTCCATGTTATTATATTCGCTCAATCAAAACCCCTCTTATGCATACATCTATATGAACTGCCTCTCCCGCTCTGTCCCCTCTCTCTCGCTCATTCGCAATTATGAGGGAAAGACAAAGAAAAGCGATTCATCTTTCTGTCGCGGCCCCTTAATGATATCATTAAAATGAGTGACAGCTTTGAATAGCATTGGAAACCTACTCCAGTCAAAACAAATCTGATCCGTTTTGGAAACAGAGCCTGGTGGTTCGTTAGGGGAGGGGTGCAACATGAGCGTGTGCATGTGTGTAAAACGGGGTGAGGTTGTGGGGTGGGGGGAGTTGTTAATGAGGGAGACCTCAGGGGGGTCACACTGGGGGTATGGGGAGTACTGCTGCAGGCAGGTGCCCCCACAAACACCCTCCTTTCTCACATCCATCCTACACCCAATCCCATCTGTGCCACATTCATTTTAATTGCCTTAATGAACATAATAAATATATCTCCTCTCTATTGATGAATGCTATTTGACAGCCATGGGGGTGGCAAGCAGGAGAGGATGGGTCCTTGATTGGAGTGTAATCATTGTTAAAGGCCCAGCGTGAATAATGTATTCAGATGGAAGAAGAGGCACGCACGTATACACACACGGGGAATCACAGGTGGCTAGGCCCACGGGGTGTTTCATTCACAACTTGGCACTCCTGCTGTTATTACCATCATCAGCTTTGTTCGGGCTAGATTGTGTGTGAAAGAGCGAAACACTGTGGGCAACGCTTTTTGTCACGTGTGAATGCTAAACTCTGATCAGCTGGTGGATGCACACAAATGTATACGTACGCTCACACACACACAAATGACTCACGTTCTCTCGTCTCGCTGGATGTCCTGGTCTTGGATCCGGGCCTGCGAACAATTATAAAATGAAAAACAAACCTGTTTGTGATCGACCCTCTTTTGTCTCTTCCCTACTTGTAGTTCATTGCTTTTCCACTTTGCCCTTGTTCACCTTGAAGTGTTCCGCGTCTCTCTCCTTCTCATCCGCCACATCTTTTAGTCTCTTTACCTCCGCCTTCAATGTGTCATTAGCGTCCTGGAGATGTCTGACGAAGCCAGGGAGATGCAGGGTTAAACAGAGGCATATACATAGAGAGGCAGACACAGAGAGAGACAGACACCTATTATCATCAAGAGACTCCTGTTAACATGGCAGACAAAATATTCTGCCACAAAACACAGATGGTGTCTGTGTTTCTCTGTTTCCAGAGCCTTTAACTAGCAGCTCAGACATTATCTCTGACACACAAACACACACAAACACACACACACACACACACACACACACACTTCACGATCCATTATAATGAAACGCTATATTTCTGCAGCCATTCATCACGTACCCCTTGTGGCTATTTATTTCACCATTTTGTTATGCCACAAATTTCCAGTATCCATAACTATAAAACAATTTTTACTCAGATGTTTATTGCAATACTATACTACACATCACAAGCATGAAATAGTTGTATTTAATAGCAGCGGAAATAGTTGTATTACGTTTCTGCATATTCAGGCAATGTACTAAGTATGAGGAGGAAATATTCTGTCGTTCTAACTTCGTGTAGCCTGTGTGTTCCAGCTGTTTAAAGACTGCTACAGGTTACCATAACAAAAACGTAAGAACAAAACACACACTCACAGGGAGTGGAAGTTAGGCGAGAGCGAGAGAGAGTTAAAAGCAGACACACACAGACGATTGTGGTGCTGCTGGGCGGGGCTGAGGGAGGTATGGCACGGCAGGGGGGTGGGATGACAGAAGACAGCTAGACTGCTTTGATCTCTGGGAAGAGAAAATATGTCACGCCCATGTCTGTGTGTGTGCATGTGTGCGTGTCTGTGTGTGTGTGTGTGAGTCATGATGATGCAAATATGCAGAATGACTGTCAGGTGCGAGCATGTCAGAGAGTCCACCTGAATCACTCCAACACATACTATACATAAAAACACACACACACACACACACGTGATGGAGTCACAAACTCCTCTGGTGGGAAAGGTGACCTAGTTTGCAGGTGGAGCAGTTCGCTGAGCTGTTTTATTCCTCCATCTTTACTCACCTTTAGTACATGAATATACTGAACAGGACGGTAACACTTTTCTTTAAGGTATCTACATAAGAGTGACATGACACAGTCATAACTATGTCATGACACAGCCATGAACTTGTCATAAACATTATGTACATGTCATAAACCTTCATGACTGCTGTCATTAAGTGTCATTCGGTTTTTGTAATGACAAGTTGACATTGTTTGGGTTGTCTTGATTATGTCAACTTGACATTAATCAAAGTGACATTACCAGAAGTTGTCTTTGTCATGACAAGTTGACATTAAATTTGTTTGGGATGTCCTTATTATGACAACTTGACATTAACAAGAAATGCACCTCTTTTTGTGTTTATGACAACTTGACATAATGATTATTATTGTCATGACAAAGACAGCTTCTGGTAATGTCACTTTAATTAATGTCAAGTTGACATAATCAAGACAACCCAAACATTGTCAACTTGTCATTACAAAATCCGAATGACACTTAATGACAGCAGTCATGAAGGTTTATGACATGTACATAATGTTTATGACAGGTTCATGACCGTGTCATGTCATAGTTATGACAGTGTCATGTCACCCTTATGTAGATGCCCTCAAGTAAAGTGTTACCAACAGGACTAACACACCGACACCAACAACACACAAACAAAAATTCACACATTGATAAATCTTTCACTCAATCTCACTTAGAAAATAAACACTCACTCCTTCTCTTTGGTGACGATGAGCAGCACTTTGTTTTGGGCCTTCATCTGGGCAGCGAGGCTCTCACTGGAAGCTCTAAGAGGAGAAGACAGACTTCTTAAATCCAGTGATGAACTTTAAAATACTTATAAGAGGACACTAAAGGTAAAACACTAAAAAAATAATGCAGTGTCACTACACTGTGACGGCCTCCTGCTTCAGCTAAGCCTGCTTTGTGTGTGTTTTCCCGTGTCTGTCTGCTGTGGCTTGTAGGTCCTGATGTGCGTAGCTGAGTGAGTGCCATCACGTTTTGTTTAGTTGGCTTCGGCCTGGTTTTCAGTTTGTGTTTTACACCATACAACACCTTGCATACATCACTCACTCACCTACTCACCCCGACACACTGACACACAGATTTACACACCTCATAACTCAGTTATGCTTTTGGCGATTATCTTCTGTTAACAATAAATTTGGGCACTTTTCAGTTACCGTGTGTGTTTCCCATTTTTGTCATGGCCTATGAGCCGGGTCATGACAAACTTGGGGCCTGTCCGGGATTATTTAGTGGCCATAGACTTTACAGTGTAAAGAAACATGAAAACATACACTACACACACACAATATCAATGAAAAGACGTACATAGTAATAACATTT